TAGTGGAGCTATGGATTATTCTTTTTTCTTTTCTCTATTTCCAAGTTTCCTTTTAGGTATTTATATTATCATTATAATGTCATAATGTATTTTGTGAAACTCTATCTTATTAAGAATATTTCATTCTCCTAAATATGGAGTAGAGCCAAAATAAAGAAACCGTGACATCAGCCAACTAATGATTCTGGCTAAGGATATAGAACCTCAGAGTTAGAAGAAACCTCAGAGATATTCCACTTTAACTGCCTCATCTTACATAAGAGACGTCTGAGACCTGGAAAGGTGAGGTAATTTGTTCTAAGTCATGCAGGAACCAGGAAGCAGGTCTCCTAATTTTCAGGCTAGTATTTCTTCCACTGATTGAGCCAGTCAATTAAGTTTTAGAACTTTTTGAGATTGCTTTCCTGAAAATGCATCCTCAAGTTCAAGTTGATATCCATTCTTTCATTACTAATTCAGATTAAACCAGCTATTATTGCTTTTGTTGGGAAAGTGATGTTTTAGAAATAGTATTTAAAACTAATATCATGGCCTTTTAGGTCCTTCTCCTTCACATCCTTGCACATGTTTCTTTATAAGCAATTTACTGAATAAATGCAGAGGAAGCCCAGATCTGACTAAATTAAGTGGACCAATGTAAAGTCTCTTCACTTTTGGGGGTATCAGCTTCCTCATTTATTCAAAGAATGAGCACCAGGCCCCATTCCATGCTAGGCCCTGGAGACATGAAGATGAATAAGGAACAGCCTTTAGGCCAGGCAAGGTGGCTCACACCTGTAATCCCAACACTTTGGCTGGCTGAGACAGGAGGGTTGCTTGAGCTCAAGAGTTCCAAGACCAGCCTGGGCAATATAGTGAGACCCTGTCTCTACAAAAAAATAAAAAATCGAGGCCAGGCGCAGTGGCTCACGCCTGTAATCCCAGCACTTTGCGAGGCCCAGGCAGGTGGATCACCTGAAGTCAGGAATTTGAGACCAGCCTGGCCAACATGGTGAAACCCCATCTCTACTAATAATAAAAAAAAAAAAAAAATAGCTGGGCATGGGGACACATGCCTGTAGTCCCAGCTACTTGGGAGGCTGAGGCAAGAGAATCACTGGAACCTGGGAGGTGGAGGTTGCGGTGAGCTGAGATCACACCACTGCACTCCAGCCTGGGCAACAAAGCAAGACGGTCTCAAAATACACACACTCACACACACATATATATATATAAAAAGTATCTAGGCATGGTGGCACACACCTGTAGTCCTAGCTACTCAGGAGGCAGAGGCAGGAGGATCACTTGAGCCTGGAAGGTCAAGGCTGCAGTGAGCTGTGATTGTACCACTGCACTCCAGCCTGGGTGCCAGAGCAAGACCCTGTGTATAAAAAATACTAAAAAGATACAACCTTTATTCTCCTGGGGCTCATAGTTGAGTGGGGAAGATGGGATGGGAAGATAGACATGCAGATAGCTGTATACATTATAGAAGAAGGTAATAACACAGGATGTTCCTAAAGGTGCTGTGCTATGAGACTAGGGGAATAAAAAGAAGGATTCTTTCTATCACAAAAGGCTTCATAGCAGAGGTGGTGGCATTTGAGCTAGACCTCATAAAGTGAACAGCATTTTACTAGGCAGAGTAGTGAGGAGAGAGTATCAAAGATAGCAAGGCAGAGGAAATAGGAAAAACAAAGGCATGAAGACATAAAAAAAAAAGTACACATAGAATGGGGATCTCGAAAAGCAAGATAAAGGATGTTAGACTCTTAGTGGTCCTCAACTGGGAGTACTTGTCAGAATAACTTGCAGAGCTCTATTAAATTTTAGAAGATTGTGATGTACATCCTTGAATAAAAACCTTACATGGCCACTGAAATCTTATCTATGCCCTAGAACTTTTTGGATCTATGTTTACCATAGTACCACCACACTTAGTACCACAAGTTATTACCATTTAATCCATGTTGGAACCCAAGTGGCAAAAACAATGCCTGTACTCTGGATGGTGAATTGACACTGATGAATGGCTTGATCATCAGAAAACCAAAGGGGATTGCAAATGAAAATAGAAATAAAGACATAGTCTCACACACTGAGTTTTCCCCAGTTCATTTTTTGGGGAAAAAAAAAAAGCCCTGTTTTTAAAGGTTCACCCAAGTGCTAAGATGCCTCAGGTGAGGAGTTGATGATAATCAGTAATTATCCAAGGTGAAATTCAAGATATTTTATAAAGATGGAAATAATAACCCTGTCAGAAATGGAAATCAGCTATCATGGGGTATGGGGCTATAAATCCAAATATAATATCCAACTTGTCTTCACCTCAGAGAGTTTCCAGCTGTTGATGACGTTCTGCTGTGATTTGCCAGAGATGAAGTGCATTTTTAATAAAACTCTGCTCCAGCCAGCTAAATGAAAGGCTTGGAGCCATACTCTCTTTCAAGAAGTGTTGAGCACTTGTGAAGTCTGCAGAGAAATGGTAGAAGGTGTCCACTTTCTTGTCAGTTCCAATTAAGATCTTTTCTTTGCAACCCCAGAGTTGAGCATTATTTTCTAAGCGAGCTAATGGAAGATCAAGTCAGGTCTTTCTTGGGTTGAAAGGACACTTGTTGAGATGCTATGGGCTTTAAACTTACCGCTCCAAGTCCAGTAGTTCAAATTCAAGCCTTGCTGAAGGCAGAGGTAATAAAGGAACACACGCTTATGGAGAGCCCAGGGAGTATATATGTGTCAAGAAATAATTATGGGAAGGAAATGGTCCAAATAATGCTTGAATATGTGCATAAACACGCACACACACACACACCCCTTGTGCTGAAACATACAAGGCAACCAGTAGTAATGGCAGTTATCTCACCAGATCATAATTAGATTGGAGACTCCTTGGGAGCAAGGACTGAGGCTTTTTGAGCTCTGAATTCCCCAGCAGTGTTGAGTTGATGATTGGCCTGCTGAATTTGAGAAGACAGTGGTATGGGCATGTGGCAGTGTCTTCCCACAGTCCCACTAGACTGCCTACAATGCTTCAAATAAGCCTTGCCACCTTCACACCCTGCCCTGTGGCTGTACCCCTCTGATTACTCCTCTGCCAAGCACCTTCTTGCACCTCTGTGGCTTTCAAAGTCTGTCAAATTTCTTCTTGTTCTTCATAATCCATCTCACTGTCTTTTGAAAATAATTCTCCAAGCACAAGGGGGAGCAGAAAATGTTCTTGGAAGTCAGAGAAATCTAGATTTGAATCCCAATTCTACCTCTTTCAAGTTCTTAAACAAATTACATTACCTCTTTGTGCCTCAGTTTCTTCCAGGTGGGTTATGGGGAAAATTTATTTATTTATTTATGAGATGGGGTTTTGCTGTATTGCCTAGGCTGGTCTCAAACGCCTGAGCTCAAGCAATCCACCCACCTCGGCCTCCCAAAGTGCTGGGATTACAGGTGTGAGTCACTGCACCTGGCCAGTTTTAGGGAAGATTTAATGTGATAAAATATGTAAACTACCTAGCTCAGTGACTGGCACAGGATAGATTATCAGTGCATGATTGTTAGGCTTATTCACCTTCCTCTGTGAAACCTCAGTGCTTAATAACTGTTAGTTTCCCCTGCCTATACATCCTTTAACATCTCTCTTAGGTTTCTTCCCCTACTCTACCACCCCTGTATCAGCTGTTGCCCCCTCCTTTTTTCCATAATCCCTTGTTTATGCCTCTTTTCTAGCACTATATGCTGACTTGTGCTGTAACTCATTGTGTTACCCTCCTGGGTAGCTGAAAACACCTCAAGGCACTATCTCCAGCAACTAGCAGAGGGACTAGTTTAGGACAGACATTCCATAAATGGTTTTCTAATTGAAATATAACATTTAATCCAGCTTTCCAGAAGATAAAGTGAGCATGTAACATGTCTTCTCCCAGCAAGTGCTGAATGGTCTAAGTAGCAAAGAGAAAGTTTCCCTGCAATTAAGTGTTTCAGAGTTGATTGCTGTCTATCCAGCCCAAGTAAGCAGAGCCTCAATTTCCAGATGTTTTTGTTTCTCCCACTTCCAGCCTAGCCAGGCCAGAGGAGCATTCCCATAAGGGTAACCCAATATGTGCTTTTTGATGATCTGATTAGAGTGTGAAATACTTTCTTTGGAGTAAATGCACAAGAGTGAGGTTTTTCTCTGTTTTTGTAACAGACTAAAGGTGACGGAGTGGGAAAAATCGAAGCCAGAGGAAAATCTATCATACCCCAAGAGATGAAGAGCACATAAAGCCAACACAACAGATATTGTCCTGGGTCAAAACTTCAAAGCCTGGGCCACAAATGACTATACACCTTTGAAGTGACCATAGGAAAAGAAACAGAAGCAAAAGCAAAAGTTTCCTAGAAGCTGTTCTTTGCAGTGATACCTGTACCACTAAAGAACCTAAAGCAACCTGAACGTCAATCAACTGAACAAATATTTTCTGAACTACTAAATGCAGGGCACTGGAGTTACAGATATGTTGGTGAAGCTAGACTTCTGACCTTAGTCCATTGTTCTAGCTATTCGATTACCTTCTTTTTTGTTTTCTTTCTTCTTTTCCTTTCCTTTTCTTTCTTTCTTTCCTTTTCTCTCCTTTGTTTCTTTCTTTCTTTTTCTTTTCTTTCTTTCTTTCCTTCCTTCCTTCGTTTTCTTTCTTTCTTCCTTTCTTTCTTTCCCTCCTTCCTTCCCTTCCTCCCTCCCTCTCTCCCTCCCTCCCTCCCTCCCTTCCGTCCTTCCTTCCTTCCTTCCTTCCTTCCTTCCTTCCTTTTCTTTCTTTCTTTCTTTCTTTCTTTCTTTCTTTCTTTCTTTCTTGACAGGGTCTTGCTGTGTCACCTAGGCTAGAGTGCAGTGGCAACATCTCAGCTCACTACAGCCTTCACCTCCTAGGCCAAGCGATCCTCCCACCTTAGCCTCCCCAGTAGCAGGATTACAGGTGCACACCACCATGACTGGCTAATTTTTGTATTTTTTGTAGAGGCAGGATTTCATCATGTTGCCCAGGCTGGTCTTGAACTTCTGTACTCAAGTGATCTGCCCACCTCAACCTCCCAAAGTGTTGGGATTACAGGTGTGGGCCACCACATCCAGGCTTCAATTACTTGTTTCACTCAGTGTTCATCTAAGGAAACAGAACTACTATGAAGTAATGCGTAAGGAATTTGTTATACGAATTAAAACTAATACAGTTGTGGGTGCAGCTGGGAAAGTGCCACTCTGAACTTGGAGGGAGGCAGGGATCGATGGAGTCACTGAAGAAGTCAATCCTAGCAGCCAAACACACTCAAAGGTTGTAAAGGGGCTGCAGAGGAGGAGCTGATGGAGACATCTACAGAAGGCTGTGGGTCCACTGCAAATGTCTGGTGCTAGGTTTGGAGCTACGATTGGTCAACAGGGTCAGCAGTCAGGAAAAGCTGGATATGGAGTGGAGGAGAGTGAACTTGCTCGTGCCTCCTCACCTCTTGTTGTAATGAATCCCCATGATCTTCAGAGAGCAGTGGCTGCTGATTCACTTTTGCCTCCCAGATCTCGAGCAACCATCACTGTTTTGTTTTATTTTGTTTTGTTTTTTTAGACGGAGTCTTGCTCTGTCGCCCAGGCTGGAGTGCAATGGCATGATCTTGACTCACTGCAACCTCCACCTCCCGGGTTCAAGCAATTATTCTGCCTCAGCCTCCCAAGTAGCTGGGATTACAGGCACCCATCACCATGCCCAGCTACTTTTTGTATTTTTTTTTTTTTTTGAGATGGAGTCTTGCTCCATCACCCAGGCTGGAGTGCAGTGGTGCGATCTCGGCTCACTGCAAGCTCCGCCTCCCAGGTTCACGCCATTCTCCTGTCTCAGCCTCCCGAGTAGCTGGGACTACAGGCGCCCGCCACCACACCCGGCTAGTTTTTTTTTTTTTTTTTTTGTATTTTAGTAGAGATGGGGTTTCACCATGTTAGCCAGGATGGTCTCGATCTCCTGACCTCATGATCCGCCCGTCTCGGCCTCCCAAAGTGCTGGGATTACAGGCGTGAGCCACCGCGCCCAGCTACTTTTTGTATTTTTAATAGAGATGGGGTTTCACCATGTTGGCTAGGCTGGTCTTGAACTCCTGACCTTGTGATCCGCCCACCTCAGCCTCCTAAAGTGCTGGGATTATAGGAGTGAGTCACCACGCCCAGCTGCAACTATCACTCTTAACCTACTTTAACCTAGAACCATACAGTTGCATTTTAACCAATCTGACACATATAAATTTTCTCCATAACCATAAAGTGATTTCTGTCTTCTCCCAGTTTCCTACAGTGGGAAAAAATTGGACTTATAAGTCTAACAGTGCTAGGCTCTAATTCTGGGCCTGCACTTCTGTAGCTGTCTGACCTCAGGGAAATGACCATTTCTGTGCCTTAATGAATCTGGAGCCCTTCCTCTGTGCTATCATAGTACCCATGTGCTGCTTTCTGTTGTGTATATATTTCATTTTATTCTCATTATCTATTTATGTGTCCATTTCCTCCATTAGACCTTAAGCTCAAGCACATGGGTCATATCTGATTCCTCTCTATATTTATGATGCCTGACAGTGTCTGGCACAGAGTAGATGCCCAGTATATGTTTGCTGAGAAAATTAGTCCTTGAAACAGAGAAACTCATCAAACTATCAAGCTGGTAGCAGAACCCAGTACTAACATATTAAGGCAGTGAGACCCACCTCTGTGTCTGTCACACTCTCAGCACCCTGAAAAATCAGGCCCCAGACACCCTCACCTCATCCACAGCTTATATCTTAAACCATTCACCGCATTTCACTTTCAAACCTGTTTTAATTATCCTGATTCCTGAATCCTGAGCTTGACCTCTGTTTATGACCTGCTATCACCTCTTAGACCTTCCGATGTTCAGGCTTCTGGCTATCTTATTTGAATTTTCATTTTTCCCATCTGATTAAATACTTTCACTTTCTTGGCATATTTCTCACCCTAAACCCTAGGTTCTCAGGTCAGAGACTATGAAAGTCCCTGCCCTCAGGGAGTACTCAGACTGGTGAACAACAGACAAGGTGACCAGCAATTCCAGGATGGTATGGTAAGAGATCTGGATGAAATAAGTTTAGGGTACTATGGAAGCATAGAAAGAATGAAGAGCACCTAAACTTAGAAAGAGAAGGGTAGTTGTCAAAAGAAAGTGTGGATTGATCTGAGTAATGAGAAACTGCATAGGAGATTCCCAGGCAGAGAAAGGGAGAATATGCATTGCAGACAGAGACCAGCAATGCAGAGGTATGAAGACAGGAGAGATCAGGATGTGGCACCACAGGTGGGTTGGTGTGGCGAGAAGAGTGTGAACGTGCAGTCGAGAAGTGGAGGGAGATGAATAAATGACAGGCGACGGATGGCTTGAGTTCTAAGCTAATGAACTTAGACCTGACCCTGTAGGACAGAGATGGTAAATTATCAGGATTTGGCCCAGAGATCCTCCTTTGTTCGCCCCACATACTTTTTTTACATTTGCTTTCCCAGTATTTTAAAACTGGAAAATTTTACATAAAATTCTGGGTTTCCAGCTTCTGTGGAAAAATCAGGTGATCCGGCCACACTAGGCTGTCATTCGTTGTTTGTCCTTCTTAGGTGCTATATGTGTTTTGTAACTCGCTAGTCTGTACCACACCTCTTTGTCCTCATACTCCTGCACTTTTGTTTTTCTTTAGGGGGAGAAATATTTCTCACTACCAGTATCTCTGTGAAAAGTAAGGAGTTGAAGGTTAGAGTCAGGCATTTCAGAAAATGGGGAACAGCATGTTTCTTTGTAGAAATAAAGAAACAAAGTATATCCATTAAAACACTGCAACCTTCTCTTAAACCACTTCTTTTCACTTGTTTATGTTACCTACAGGATTTGCTGTATAAAGAATGATGACTTCACCAGGCCACCTTACTTCCATAAAAGCTTGTGATGCTCACAGACTGTCAAGCAGGAATGTGCTGGGTATTCTAGTCTTAAAGAAGGTGTAGGAGACATGTACATGTCTGGCCAGAGATTGTCAAAGACTCTCAGAGTCTTTGGCCAACACTGACTCTGAGAGCCTCAAATAAGTGATGAATCAAGTAGAAAGAAATTGGGAGGACACAAGAAAGAGCTCGTCGGGGGCCACAGGCAGCTAATGCAGCCAGTGACAGAATAGAGGAAATGCAGCATAACCCCCAACTCCAGGATCTAGGGCCTAAAGGCCAGAGCCACTCCCTGTAATCATGCAGAACTCGCCCACCTTCTCTGTAAGAGGGTTGCTGGGTCCTTCAGACTCGCCCCTGCTTCCGCCTGCCCCACCCTCACATCCTGGGACTGCACCGCACTTCCACTAATCCGAACCCTCCTGCCCTCCCAGAGTCTTGAACCGCTGCTTCTGAGCTCCATGTAGCTGGTGAAAGGAGGCTGCCTTGGGCTCTTTGGGGGCCTCCTGTCTTCAGTGATGATTCTCTGCAGCTCAGCTCCTCTCCCCATGTAACTGATCCCAGTCCTCTGGTTCTGTCAGCACCTCTGCTGTGTACACTATGACATGTGTGAGTTCCCAGCTGGGTGGGAACCCTGAGTGAGGTGTGAGTTTCCTCCCAAGCCACTGAAGTTGGCTTTCTGCAGTAAGCCAGACACTTGGGCTCTGCTGGTCTTAGAAACAGTGTTTTCACTACATGGTCAGGGAGAAGGGATCCCCTAAGTCTTCAAATTGATCTCTCTGCTCCCCCATCTTTTCCCACCTCAATTCTGCTTGTACCCATGGAATTACTATACATTAAAACATAATGCTAAATATGTCATGTTTCTAATCAAAAACCTTGAGCAGCTCCTCATTTCCTACCAAATTCAAACCAAGTTATCTGCCCTGGCATGTTGGACCTGTCCCAGGCTGACCCCAAATGCTATTTTCTAGGCTTATCTCCCACTATAAATAACAAATGCTGACAGGCACAGTGGCTTATGCCTGTAATTCCAGTATTTTGGGAAGTCGAGGCAGGTGGATCAACTGAGGTCAGGAGTTCGAGACCAGCCCGGTCAACATGGTGAAACTCCGTCTCTACTAAAAATACAAAAATCAGCTGGGTGTGGTGACACAGGCCTGTAATCCCAGCTACTTGGGAGGCTGAGGCAGGAGAATCACTTGAACCCAAGAGGCGGAAGTTGCAGTGAGCCGAGATTGCACCACTGCATTCCAACCTGGGCAACAGAGTGAGGCTCCGTCTCAGACAAACAAATAACAACAAAAAAATGCTCTAGCCAAAATTTCACTTGGCCTTCTCTGCAAGCAAGGAGATTTCTTGCCTTGGTTCTTTTCTTCCTTTGTGCCCAGCTGTCCAAAGCCTACCCATTCTACAAACTTCATCTCAAGTCACCTCTCAAAACTCCTAATGGTTCTAGTCGCATGTCGCTCTTGCTCAAGGTACCTGCCATATATTGTTCTCCTTGTTTAACCCTGGGTATAGTCTATTTCTTTTTTTAATTATGGCCACACACCTTAGCCTTTTTGCAAGGCTGAGCTTAGACAAAAGGGGTTATGTATTCACCTGTATCACCATTCCTTGGACAGGGCCTGGTGAATGCAAGATGCTCAGAAATATTTCCTTGAATTGTGTTCATTCTTCCTGCCATATTTTTTGGTGGATTCAAAAAAATCTACCTTCCTACCTCTCCATAATCCTCAACTCTTCACAAAGGAATGGCTCTTAACTGTCATTGTGTCCAGTCTTGCATTTGATGATAGGTATCTCTTCCTGACATCCCTGCCAAGAGAGGATGCCAAGTAATTTCCCACTAGAGCACATGGAAAAGTAGTGAGACCCATCCAGGTGAGACTAAATACCTGGGCAAGAGAGAAATTTCACACACAAAGTCATCAGAGTTAGTCTAATTGTGTCTCACTGGGGCCTGGATGTCCTTTTTTTTTTTTTTTTTTTTTTTTTGGAGACAAAGACTGGCTCTGTCACCCAGGCTGGAGTGCAATGGCGCCATCTCGGTTCACTGCAACCTCTGCCTTCTGGATTCAAGTGATCCTCCTGCCTCAGCTTCCCAAGTAGCTGGAATTACAGGCGCCCGCCACCATGCCTGGCTAACTTCTGTATTTTTAGTAGAGACGGAGTTTAGCCATGTTTACCAGGCTGGTCTTGAACTCCTGGCCTCAAGTGATCCACCCACCTTGGCCTCCCAAAGTGCTAGGATTACAGGCATAAGCCACCGTGCCTAACCCAGGCTATCCGTTTTGCCAGATGTTCTCAAGCCACAGTAGTAAGAAAGGCCCAGTCCACTGGTAACAGAGGACCAAGACCAAGCCAACTCAGGCGTCATTTGCAATCATCCTCCCCTGCATTGTGTAGCTAGCCTACCTCATCCCATGGGGAGTGATGGGACATAATATTTTAAGTACCATACATCATAGATTCAAGTTTATTGGAATTTCATCCCATAAATTAGGAGGCAATAAAACACGAAGGAAGGAGCATGGCCTTTGGAGCCAGCCAGACCAGGTTTAATTTTCATTGTTTTGCTTAGTATGATGTGGTTAAGAACTCCAGAATTAAGCAGAACCAGGTTGAAATGCTATTATGCCATTTCTTATCTCTATAACTTTGGGAAAATTACCCACCTTCTCTGAGCCTTCATTTTCTAATATGTAAAACAGGGACAATAACACTATCCTCATGGATTTTTGGTGAAAATTAAATGAGAAAATACATGTGTGTCAGCTAGGATGTCTTTAGCTCCAAGTAACAAACCAAAACTCGAAATGGCTGAAACATGGCAGAATACACAAGGAAAATGTATCATCTCATATAACAGGAAGTCTAGAAGTAAGGAAGTTTCAGGATTGGTTAATTCATCAAAAACTCTTCTTTTCATCTTAATGCTTTTCCAACCTTGGTATATAGCCTTTTCTAGGCTGGCTTCCCTCATGGTCATAAGATGGGTGCCACGGTTCCCAAATTTATATCCAGATGCTACAATATACAACGCAGAAAAGGGTCATCTCTTCCTTTTGTGTCTTTCTAAAAATAAGAAAACCTTTCCCAGAAACATCTCACTGATACTCTCTCCCACATCTTTGGCCAGAGCTGGGTAATAAGCCTGCCTTTAATCCAATCGCTGACAAAGGGGGAATGGGATCACCATGATTGGCTTGGCCAATTATACTGGAGATAGAGCCCCTTTTCCTGCCAGATGAATTGCTGGGTAAAATTAGAATTCTGTTAGCAGAGAAGAGGCAGGATAGCTACTGGGTAGGCAAGCAACAAGGTCTGTTACAGCATGGAATCTGGCACATGGTAAGCATTTAAGCATTTAACTCTTGTTATTAACTCTTACTAGCTGTATGAACTTATTCAAGTCACAAATCTCATAGATTCCCAATTTCTTAATCTGAAAATGGGAGTAGGATTATCAGCTTTGTTGGATAGTTAAAAAGTTAAACAAGATGACACATGTGAAATCTTCAGAGCTTAGTAAATGATAGCTACTTATAGTTGTATATAATTATTGCTAGAGCACTTGGGCAGCAGGCTGACATCTTCAGCAAAGGTTCCTGGGGTTAGCACCAGGCTGAAAAGCTCAAAAACATGAGCACTAGAAACTGTACATACTCAATTTTCTATAATTGTGATTCTGTGTGTTAATTTGCCAGACCTTAATCCAGTTGCCCGTGCCCATTAGTTCTCCCTTCATGTAAGGAGATCCAGTAAGAAAATGATTTTTGCTAGGTGGTCCTCTGCCCTTGCCCCTAGAGGGCACTAAAGGCAATCCGGCCTCTCCTACTGGATTTGATGGCCCAACACCAACATCAACTGATCCAAGATCCCTCTTCTTGGGCTTTGAGCCCTCAACTCAGGATGGGAGCTTGATTCTTCATAGCACCCAGGGCTATAACTGTGTCAGACCCTGATTCCCATCCCAGCTCTGCCACTTATGAGCAGTGTGACCTAAGGCAAAGCACTTAACCTCTGTTTGTTTGTTTGTTTGACAGAGTCTTGCTCTGTTGCCCAGGCTGGAGTGCAGTGGCCCAATCAAGGCTCACTGCAACCTCCACCACCCAGGTTCAAGCGTTTCTCCCACCTCAGCTTCCTGGGCAGCTGGGAGTACAAGTATGCACCACAATGCCCGGCTAATTTTTGTATTTTTAGTAGAGACTGGGTTTCGCCATGTTGGCCAGGCTTCTCTTGAACTCCTGACCTCAAGTGATTCTCCCACCTCAGCCTCCCAAAGTACAGGGGTGAGCCACCATGCCCAGCTGCTTTACCTCTCTTTGAATATCATCTGCCAGACCTGTAAAATGGGGTGCAACCTCATGTTTGCTACCTTTCCCTCAAACTCAGGCCTCTGGTCACTTGAAATGATCTGACATTACTGAACAGATCACAGTATCTCCCCCTCCAAGCCTTTATAGATTACTTTCCCTTCCGGAATCAATGCCAACCCCATTTCATCCTCACCAATCAGGATGGGGTTTAGGAAAGCATTTCCTCTTTCTCCACCTCCTGCCCACAGCTCAAATGATCCTAAAGCACCTTGGACTTACTTCTTTTGTTCTTTTAATGGTTTATCAGTATTGTTTTCAATATTTTTATTGATACATAATAGATGTATATATTTTGGGGGTACATGTGATAATTTAATACATTCATATAATTTGTAAAGATTGAATCAGTATAATTGGGATATCTGTCACATTAAATATTTGTCTTTTCTTTATGCTATAAATATTCAAATTATTTTCTTCTGTTTTGAAATATATAATACATTATTGTAAACTATAGTCACCCTACTGATCTATCTAACACTAGGTTTTATTTCTTCCATCAAACTGTGTGTTTGTACCCATTAATCAAGCTCTCTTCATCTCCCTTCCCTCCTACTCTTCCTGTCCTCTGGTAACCACCAATCTGCTCTCTATCTTCATGAGATCCAGTTTTTAAGCTCCCACATACGATATTTTTCTTTCTGTGCTTGGCTTATTTCACTTAACACAATGACCTCCAGTTCCATACATTTTGCTGCAAATGACAGAATTTGATTCTTTTTTATGGCTGAATAATATTCCATTGTGTATATGTACCACATATTCTTTATCCATTCATCTGTTAATGGATACTTAAATGGATTCTGTATTTTGACTGCTGTGAATAGTGTTGCAATAAACATGGGAATGCAGGTATCTCTTTGATGTATTGGTTTCCTTTTGGATAAGTACCCAGTCCTGGAATTGCTGGATCATATGGTGGTTCTATTTTTAGTTTTTTATGGAACCTCCATAAAGTTTTCCATAGTGGCTGTACTAATTTACATTTTCACTAACAGTGTATAAAGGTTCCCCTTTGTCCACATTCTTTCCGGCATTCATTATTCCCTATCTTTTTGATAAAGACCTTTTTAAAAATATTTATTTATTTATTTATTTATTTTATTTTATTTTTTTTTTTGAGACAGAGTCTTACTCTGTTGCCCATGCTGGAGTGCAGTGGCACAATCATGGCTCACTGAAGCCTTGACTTCCCAGGCTCAAGCAATTCTCCTATCTAAGCGTCCTGAGTAGCTGGGACTACAGGCATCCACCACCATGCCCAGCTAAGGTTTTGTGTATATTTTGTAGAGACAGAGTTTCACCATATTGCCCATGCTGGTCTCAAACTTCTGGACTCAAGTGATCCACCTGCCTTGGCTTCCCAAAGTTCTCGGACTATAGGCAGGAGCCACCACACCCAGCCTATAAAAGCCATTTTAACTGGGATACCTTGCACGTATTGCTATAATTGCATTGCTCTCCCAGGATGGGAACTTTTACTTGTCTTTCTTAACCACTAGGTTGTGAGACCACAAATTAAGAGGAAGGTCCCTGGACTTACTCATTGCTTTATCCTCAGAAAAATAAAGAGTGTTGAAATGTCATCACTGCAGTGAAGTGTTGTCAGTGAAGGGGAGCTCTAGTTTCCAATGAAGTTCCATGGGTGTTGCCTGGAGCCCCAGTTAGCACCATGGAATCATTCACCTCCCTCCCTTCTCACCCCTGGAATCCCAACTTCAACAAATAGCAAGATGATTTCCTTCCTTGGGAGCTATCCCAGCAAGTGGAGCATTTCAATAAACAAATAATAAGTGTGGAACAAATGGAAGAGGGAAATGTGAGACCCCAAGAGGAGGATTGGAATGAGACTTGGCAAGAGGCTGTGAATACATCCAAGGCTGATAGATTTATTATTGAGAAGTTTGTTTTTCCTCATGGATCTTTCCTACCTCCAGTATAATAGCACGCAGGGCGGGACATAAAGCCAAAGTGATCTGGAGGAAGCAGGACACCTAAATTCATTTGACTTGGAAAGAGCTTTAAATTTTTACATTCTGTCTTCAAACACAGAGTTTCCCAATGGTCTTAGGGGGATGCGTGTACATTTATGCACATGTTCATCCTAGATTTTTGTTTCTTTCTCACAACATGCACACACATACATGCACACACACTTGGATACGCAGAGATTGATTTTTTAAAAACAATCACATTCCCATGCTTCTCCAAGAAATTAGGTAGAAAAGAGACCCTTAAACTTCTTTTTTAAATTTTTTCTGGAGCTCAGGAGGATTTAGGCATTCCAGATTCTCATATTTCTCCAAGGTGAACCAAATGTTTCACTTCCATATTTCAGGGTCCCATTTCTTCCCATTTAATGCTCTAACTTTCCTGTAAGAAACTTGAGGCACCTGTGATTTCTACGAACATTGTAATTCTGCACCCACAGGATTAAAATTTGGGTTTGACTTTCAATGATCTTAGTCCCATAGCTATAATAGATTATATATTATATAATTAATGTCAATATTAATATAATTAACCTATTTATATATAGTTTTGTATATTAGTTATAAATACATATATATTTTAAAGCTATAATGGAAGCTCTCTGGTTCTCTGAACACGCCTAGAACTGAGAGTTTAGAATGCTGAGCTTGAATTTTTTTTTTTATAAGAACTTTGGCACCGTCAGAAGCAACTGATTCATCTTAAAATCCTTGGTCACAATTCTCACCTTAGTAGTGCATTTCAGCAGCCATTTGGTCTTCCAAAGACTTGCCTTTGAAGGCATTTCATCCCAGTTATTCACAAGGCGCTAGTTTAAGTAACTTTTGCTATTGCGTGCCATGGACTGCCGTGGACAGTTGTTGGGAAATACAGTTTGCCGACCTCCAAATATCCTTGTATATTCTTGTTTGTCCCAAACAGCAAGGACTAACCATTTTCTGACCCTGAATAGTTTATATAATTAGTCACAAAAGCAGTTAGGTAGGTAGGTCAAGGTGACCACAATGTGCAGCAATTCGCTCTCCAGGGAAAGGAGACTGGCTTGTGAACTGCTTGCTATAAAAGGTTCTGCCCTTAGCCCACGATTCCTTGGTGACATGACAGCCCCAAGGCACGCATAGCTGCCATCTGGGCCATTGTATTGACTCGTGGGATTTGAGGGCAAGGAAACTCGCTCTACCATGCTCTTGGCCCTTTTGTTTGCTATACTATCTTTTTCTGATCCACTGGGTCTTGCCTACTTTCAGCTCCCATAGAGTTGTGGCAAGCCAATTTGGAGTCCTGTTACTCCTTGTCATCTTCCATGAGGTTGGAACTCTTCCCTGATACAGTATCCCATTTTCTACTGGCAATGAAGTCATCATTGAATTCAAGCCCACTCAGGTCATATTACAATCCCAGATTCCTATCATGGAGGGTCAGTTTCCCATGACCACTTTCATATCAAGTATTATATCAGCAGCTTCCTGTCAGGAAAACACATCATTCTAGATCTGTGCTGTCCAACACGGTAGCCATTAACCACGTGTGGCTATTAACATTTAAGTATTAAAATTAAGCAAAATTATATGTTACAAATTATATATCTTGAACAGGGTTCTGGGGCCCCTGGCTATATGCCAGGTACTGTCTTTTTAGTAACTGGATCTGATGGATCCTGGGAAGTTCCAGGGAATTCTAAGAGGCGGGGGGAGGGGGTGGGCGGGATGGCTGGTGCAGTGGCAACAGGGTACCCAGGGAGCTTGGGGGTGGTTACTATTTACTAGCCAGTATAGAAATATTTCAACACTTTAATAACCAATACAGTCGAACGTACCTAATGCAGTCCTGTTGGCCGGGGTTATGACTATGTAAATGTTATTCATAATTAAGCCATATAGGGGTCTGTGAGTATATTTCCATTCTTGTTAAGATTTCAGTTTCTCCTACATTAATAATTGCCTTTTTGTTTTCTTTTGCTTAGTTTCTGTATCTCCATCACTAAGTCTTCTCTCAAACTCTTTGAAAGAACAGTATGATGACCAAATCTGTCAGGTCCAGCTATATCCCAGGCATTATGATGGCTTAACTATGGCTATCCATCAGATCCAGCTACTAAAAAGACAGTACCTGGCATATAGCCAGGGGCCCCAGAACCCTGTTCAAGAGGCCAGCGTTTGTTCAGATCAGTCAGTTTCTGTGCCAGTCAGCAGCCTCCAGTCCCTCCTGGGCACTGCCTTTGGCTCCCCCAAAAGGCTGACCTGAGCCTTGCTTGCTACACCTACCTGGCCCAGGGAGCCCCGCATGAGAACCATCCTGAGACTGTTCTGGTGCCACCTGGCTGCCAGGTAATAGCCAGCTACCCTCACTTCCCACATATCAGCCCCTGTCCCTGCGTGTTCCACCTGCCCCCAGGAGGCTCAAACCTCACCAGGAGAGACAGCAGCCCCGGAAGAGATGTTGGTATCTCAGAGGACAAATATATTTTAATGACTTCTGTGGTCATAATGTATAAACACTGCAAAATGATTAACCAAAAATTGTTAAATAATTGTAGATACAATTATATTAGATAATGGAGGAGGGAAGCGCTATTAGAGAAACCTTCCATTGTTCAAAGTCAGTAGATAATGTCTGAACCTTGGTGTTTCAGGAATACCCTTAAAAAAAAAAAAAAAAAAAAGACTAGGTCTATAATAAAAAGTGACGAACTCTGCTTGGGGGGATTGGAACTGGTTCACAGAGAAAGGGGTGTTTGAGCTGGGTCTTGAAGAGAGTATAGAAGTTCTCAGTTCCACAAAGGTTGAACTCTAAGGTGAGTGGGTATCTTAAAGGAAGAAAATTCTTGGGCAAGGGTGGTGAAGAATAATAGGAAGTACAAAGGCACAAAAGCATGGGAGCATCATTTTGGGGACAAACAATGAACTGTCCCATGGAGTGAGAAGTTCAGGAGCCATGTTAGGAGAAGACAATGGTAGAAATAAAGCAGAGACAGAAGTTTGTGACCAGAGCCCAGCAGCCTCCAATGTAGCCCAAGTGGTCCCCTTCCTCAAATTGGTGGCAGCATAACAGGTACAAATCCGAAAAGCAATTTGGAAATACACATCAGAAACCTTGAAAATGTTTCTATCCTCTATCCCAGTGATCCTACTCCTGGGGATTGTTCCTGAGAAAATACAATTTTTAAACCATAGAGTGAGCAGCACACACTGGTATTTTTTTTTTTTTTTTTTTTGCATCATTATGGGAAATAGTGAAAAACTGCACAAAAACAAGTTTCATCAGAGGAGAATACTTAAGTAAAAGATAGCAAATTCACCCAGTGAATAATAAATATGCAGACTGGTATGCCTGTCATAATTTAGGTGGGCTCACCCAGCGGGCCTGCTGGGCCCAGTACCATAGGATGGTACTAATGCCATCCCCATCTTACAGATGCGGCTCAAAGAGATAGAATGATCTGCTCAGGGCTAGCTGGCTTCAAAGTAGAGGAGCTGAGATTCCAACCCACATCAACATGATGGCAGAGCAGTCGGTGCTTTTCCTCTGCCACATGATGCCAGTTGTCGATGATGATCATGTTACCTGTGGAAAGTCCCTTTACATGACCCCTGGCATATTTCTTCAGTCTTGGGAGAACAATGCTAAGCCAGTGTGGACACGAGGGGCTGGCAATAAGTAGCAAAAGAGAAAAAAACTGTATGATACAAGGCTAAGCAATAAAAACAGAATACGTAGTTGTATCAGAAATAAAAGCGGTCAGAAAAATTATGCTCATGGACAACAGCAGGAAGGGGTAAGGAGAAATGGAAACAGATAATGTGTGAGTGGGTGCTCTCTTTCCTCTTTCTCTTATTGAAGTTTCCGTTCTTAACACTGTATTATTTGCACAATAAAAAAACAATTCACAATGAAAGATAGAAAGACAGAAAATACGAGTCCCTGGGGTGGCCCACGGCCATGCCTTGAGTCCAGCTGCAGCTCTAGGATTTCCAAAGCCATTCTGACAGCAGCACTCATAAAGAAGAAGCTAGTTCCTTTTGGATGAAGGGGGGAAGGAGAAAAATGTAGCGTGTGACCCATGCCAAGAGGCTTAAGTTCCTTGCCATCATGCTCCAGGGTTGGTGTCATTGCCACATCTGATCAAGCTCTTACCCTGGCTGGGGAGGTGTGCCTGTGACCTGGCACTTCCCAGTTCAAGAATTTTTGCATCTAATGGTATTGTTGATCCCTGTTCATTTGTTTCACCTCTGCTGGCTGGGGCTTGGGTTTGGCTTTGCTGGAGGAAGGGCCAATGTGGGATTCTCTCTAACTGAGGAACAGAGGCCAAGATGACTTTAGCCAGCAAAGAGAACAGTGAAACAGCAACATTTATGCCTGGGGTGCAGTGATTTTTCTTTGGTTCATGCTCACACCCCATACCTCATTTGATTTTATTCTACCCTTTAGATCACCATTCCTTTCCAGATTTCATACATTTGCCTATGCTGGTCTCTCTGTCTGGAATGCCCTGTCTCATTCTTCCTGACAGAGCTAAGCCCTGCCCATCCTTCAATACCACTTCATTGATGAACATTTTTCCAATCTCCTTTTGGGGAATGAATCATTCTATCCTCTGGCTCCCAAAACACTTGATTTGTATCTTTCCTATGGCAATTGCATTTGTCTACAGTACATGATAATTATTTATGCCCATGTCTGTTTCTCCTACTAAATGGTGAGCTTCTCAAGGTGGCCAAGAAATATGTCTTATCCAACTCTGATCCCTCACACAATGTCTGGCATGTGGTAGGTGCTCAATCAATGTATGGAATGACATTAATTTACAATGGTTGAATTCTTCCTCTTTCTATGCATGGGCTCTCTGGGAAAGCTGTTGAGATTATAGGCAGATGACCAATTGGTTTTTATGTCCATTTGAAAGAGGCAGGAAGAGGAAGAGAGTTAAAGCTATCTGTGGATCCATATTCCAGAGATTTCAGCCAGTGCTCCTTAGGGGGATGATAACTGGAATAATAACTAACATGTGCAGAGGCTCTTACTTACACTTTCACACCTATTAACTCAGTTGAGTCACACAAGGGCTCATGGAGGTAGGTTGGTTGGGCAGTATTTGGCCTGTTCCAGTGTTACAGCTGAGGAAACCAAGGCTCAGAAAAATGAAGTGATTTGCAAGATTACATCAACTCAAAGTAGGGCTGGGACTCAAACCCAGATCTGTTGACTCCAAATTCCATGCTCTTGGAAATGCTGAGGTGACAAGGGCACAAGCAACTCTTCTCCTTGATAAAGGTTTGCAGAAGGAAGAAAGGAAGCCTATGGTTAACCTTGATGAAGTATACTTGCACCAGGCCCCAGTTGTTACCCTCATACATATTTACCTCTCATCCAGGGCAGAGACCATGCCTTCTCCATCATTTCTCTCTCCAAAGTTCAGGTCTTTGGCAAGCCTCACACTTTTGCTGGGTCTTGATTTTCAGGTCTAAAATGAGGAGGCTGAGCTAGAAGTTTAAATTGGGTCACATTCACACTGGCACCCAACACAAAGCCTGGCGCACAGTTTCCATCACCCTCTCCATGGATGACTCCCAGTTCCAACACTAGAGGCCTCCAGGACTCCAGCTGACATGATGCAGTGTGTACCCTGCACGTTGCAGCCTCTTCCCAGGCTGGCTGTGGAAACTGAGCCTCCTCCAGACAGCAGGGCTGCTCCGCTCACGCGGATCAAGTCCGGAGCCTCATTAGTCATGTCAGATGACATAGTTAACACTTGGGGCCGGTACAGCCAGTTCATCAAAAGCTCCTATGTGCCTGGCTCCATCACCGCAGCTGAGGAACTACTGTATGTGGAGTAGGCAGTACATCAGAGGAACAGCGCCAGAGTGCTTCCAAATTGGTTTTGATTAATTGCATAGACCTGTCTTTAATTGGTGCCAGTGCAGCAGCCAGAGAACTTATGGGAAAGCAGGATGTTATGCTTTCATTCCCTGAAGTCCCATAAAGCAATGAAAGATGAGGAACAGAATCACTGCTCGTTGAAAATTCATAGACCGTGCAGACCTAGAAAACACAAATAAGTATCTGAATTGAAACCTAACCTCATTTTCCCAACTCATTGGAAGCCATGCATGTTCCCCTCTGCCCTGCCTGCCTGCCGAGATATGCAGCTGAGCAAAAGGTGTGATTTCTAAGAAACAAGTGCTTTAGCACAGAGACAGCATCCTCACCGCTCCCTCCTGGAATCGACGCCTGGAGGTATTTGGGAAGGTGCCTCCCCTCAGAAACGCCTCTCTTCAGCCCATCTCAATCCTATGAACTGTTACCAGAGACTGATTCACTTTGGGTGAAGCATTCATTCACACATTCATTCTTTCTTTTCTACCTCTTGGAGATTTAAGACATACGTATTGACCACGTACTAAATACAAAGCACTGTTCTGGTGTCATAAGGAATATAGTAGAATGAAAAAAACAAAACAAAAAAAAAAGACGCTTTTCCCAGGAAAATTATTATATAGGAGAAAAGAGAGGACAGATGAACTGATGCATGATGAGTGACATCACATAAAAGAGGAACCATTGGGATTTGGCATCAAGAAGACTTGCGTTCAAATCTCAGTTCTGTTTCTTCTTACTGAGCCACCTCAGATAATCACTTTAATTCTCTAAGTTCCTCTCTTTTTGGGAGGCTGGAGTGCAGTGGTGCAATCACAGCTTACTGCAGCCTCCAACTCCTGGGCTCAAGTGATCCTCCCATCTCAGCCTCCCGAGTAGCTAGGGCTACAGACATGCACTACCACACCCAACTTTTTCTTATTTTTTTTTTTTTTTTAGAGATAGGGGTCTTACTCTGTTGCCCAGGCTGGTCTTGAACTCCTGGGTTCAAGTGATCCTCCTGCCTCAGCCTCCCAAAGTGCTGGGATTACAGGCATGAGCCACTGAGTCTGGCCTGAGTTTTAATTATAGAATAAAATAATGATACTTACTGCACATGTCGACTGTGAGACTTGTAAGAATGAGCAGGGTGGAAAGTACCCAGCACAGGGCCTGGCACTGATCAATAAATTGTTGCCAATTCCAAATAAGCATCACTAGTGAGGCTCTGATAGGGTGCTGGGTGACAGTTCAGTATTCAAGGAACAAACTATTACTGATCACAGACTCTATGCCAGGTTCTATCCTGGACATTAGGGATTTAGATAGGAAGCTCAGTCCTGCCCTTGAATGAGACTGAGGTCCACTAGGGAGTCACAGTGATTTAAGGTGGTAAGAATGGCAAAGTGTCACAGGTGTGTTCACAGAAGTCTACTCAGGGAGCAGTGAGGAGAAAAGGAGATACGGGTCACCTCTACCTGGGAAATCAGGATAGATTCGCCTAAAGAGGCAATGCTGGAACTACGTCCTGACACATAGGAGGATTTTCATTTATAGATAAAGAAGGAAGCATTTTCCATGAACAAGGCCACAGTTTCCTTCCTTTTGTTCCTAGAGCAAACAGGGGTTACCCCCATAGAATCTTGGAATTAGCTGTTCTCTTTGTATAGAAAGTTCTTCCCCTAAATTTTCCCAAAGCTGGCTCCTTGACATTTATAACCTGATATTTTATTTTTTCGTTTGTTTATTGTATATCTCTCCTACTAGAATGACAGGTCCGTGAGAGCCTGAGATCCTGGCTATATTTTCCTCCACTCTGTTACCACATCTAGAACATTGCCTGGCATATAGTAGGCATTCAGTATACATTTGTTGCATAAATAAACAACAGGAGGCACAGGAGGGCATACTGAAATTGAGGACCTATTCTAAGCACACTGCCTGGCACGTAGCGGACACTGAATTTTCTTTCGTAAAATTAAATAATGGGAAATGCCTGAAGCATAGGCCAGAGGAACTGAAGTGGAAGGTAATAGAAGAGGTGGCCTCTGAGCTGCACCTGGGAAGAATGACAATGTGATAGGGATGCTAGGAAGGGGATCGGGAGGATTAAATCATAGAACTTTTAAGTCCCTTCCAATCTTGAGCTTCTGAGAATTTCTCCCGAACAAATAATCTCTTGTCACCCTTCCTGATCCCCTCACTCACACCCCTCCTTTCCACTCCACCCTGTCTGGAGGCTGTAAGGACATCTGACGCACCATTTCCTGCCAATGTAAATCATAGACTGCTGTGTGATACTCATTCGCAGGTTTTACCATCCCCAGATGGAGATGGCCCCAAATCTCAGGGTGGAGGCCTCAAGCAAAGCCAGCCTTACCACAGGGTGGCAAATAAGGGGGAACTGTTTACCCACCAGCACCTTCCTGGCCCTGCTCCCAGATAATTTTATTTCCTCTGGTCCTGGATCTGCTCCTTAGTTGGATGCACCTCAGTTCACTTGCTGGAGCACTGATGTGTGACTGTTTAACTGCTGCTGCTTCCTGTCCCAGGGATCCTGGGCTTCAGGGAGCATGGGAAAGAGACAAGAAAGAGAGCTTTATATGAGGTAAGCCTTGACAGTAATCATAAAAGTCAAAGACTAACTTACACTTAGATAGTGCTTCACAGTTTACAAAGCCCTAGAGGACCCCTATTCATCCTTCAAGGCCCGAACAAATGTTACCTCTTTTCACTAACCTTCAACTCTCTCAGGCAGAGCTAATCCTTTCCTCCACACTTGATAAAACCTCCATGATAGCCCTTACTGCTTTGTAATAAACGTATCTGTGTACGTGTCTCGTTTCCTCCACTAAACCATCAGAACCCTGGGGACAGATCTCTTTTCTCCCAGTAAAACACATTTCTTTCTTTCTTAAAAAGTAATTTTAATGTTCATTATACATATTTTCTAACTATAAAAATAATATTTACAGTTATAATAATAAAATTATATCTATAAAAGCATAATGAAGCAAATTGAAAATCACTTATAATTTCATCACCCAGATCAAACCACTGGTAACGTTTTGGATATATCTTGAGGGCTTTTTTTTAGCATACAGAAAGTAAAAATGGGACCATATAATGCACGTGGTTTTATAGTCTGATTTTATCACCTATCTTATTGTGAACATCTTCAAACATCATTGACAGTTCTTTAAAAACATCATCTTAAATAGCTGCATCATTTCTTTTTCTTTTTTCTTTTTTTTTTTTTTTGAGACGGAGTCTGGCTCTGTCGCCCGGGCTGGAGTGCAGTGGCCGGATCTCGGCTCACTGCAAGCTCCGCCTCCCGGGTTCACGCCATTCTCCTGCCTCAGCCTCCTGAGTAGCTGGGACTACAGGCGCCAGCCACCTCGCCCGGCTAGTTTTTCGTATTTTTTAGTAGAGATGGGGTTTCACCGTATTAGCCAGGATGGTCTTGATCTCCTGACCTCGTGATCCGCCCATCTCGGCCTCCCAAAGTGCTGGGATTATAGGCTTGAGCCACTGCGCCCGGCCAGCTGCATTATTTCTCTTAATGAGTATGCCATAATTTTCTTAACAATTTCTCCATTGTGGGGTATTTGGGTTATTTCCTTCTTTTTACTATTTTCACAAATAAGTCTGCAATGAATAGCTGTTACATAAATCTTTGTCTGCATCTCTGTTTTCCTAAGAAAGATTCCTAAGAAATCTTCCTAGAAGATTCATTCCTAGGTCAACTGGTTTAAATTTTTTTTTTTTTTTTGAGAGGGAGTCTTGCTCTGTCGCCCAGGCTGGAGTGCAGTGGCACGATCTCAGCTCACTGCAACCTCCACCTCCCGGGTTCAAGCGAGGCTTCTGCCTCAGCCTCCTGGGTAGCTGGGATTACAGGCATGCACCACCATACCCAGCTAATTTTTGTATTTTTAGTAGCGACGGAGTTTTACCATGTTGACCAGGCTGGTCTCGAACTCCTGACTTGTGATCTGCTCACCTTGGCCTCCCAAAGTTGGGATTACAGGTGTGAGCCACTGCGCCCAGCCCGCTTTAAACTCTTTAAAGCTTCGTGATGCTCATTGCCAAATTGCTCTGAGAAAAAAATATCAATTTATAAATTTCACCAACGCAACAACATGTCTCACCTGACCAACATTATAATCCCATTTGTATCTTTACCAAGTCCAGTGTCCTTTTCACAATGTCTCACAAGTTAAGTAATTTTTCTTAAACACAGCAGAAATTATACAACCAAACTTAGAGGTATCCTCTTCCAAGATGTCAACCTGGGTGGGCATATTTATTTATTTATTAATTCATTTTTTTTTTTGAGACAGAGTCTCACTCTGTAGCCCAGGCTGGAGTGCAGTGGCACTATCTCGGCTCACTGCAAGCTCCGCCTCCGAGGTTCACGCCATTCTCCTGCCTCAGCCTCCCAAGTAGCTGGGACTACAGGCGCGCACCTCCACGCCCGGCTAATTTCTTGTATTTTTAGTAGAAACGGGGTTTCACTGTGTTAGCCAGGATGGTCTCAATCTCCTGACCTTGTGATCCACCCACCTCAGCCTCCTAAAGTGCTGGGATTACAGGCGTGAGCCACCGCGCCTGGCCCGGCATATTTATTTAAACAGTGCTTCCACTGCTTTAAACATTTCTTTTTTATTTGAAAATTGGCTGCAAAGCAGACAACACATTTTTTTGCATCTAAATTACAATACACTCTGTCTTCAGGGAATGATTTTTGATTTTTGGCAATAGTCAAAAGTCACTTGAAGTTCGTAAGATGAGAAGCTACAGCTGGGTTTGGGGTCAGAAATGAAGTGCAGTATTACAGTAATGAGATTGAGGTCTTTTGCAACTTGTAAAGCAAGTCCCAGAGGAGTTCTGGGCAGTAGTGGCAACATCAGAATAAAGGCTGAGCCTTTTAGCATGACCATTCCAAAGCGGCTGCACTCAGGTGGAGGAATGACTCTAGCACACAGTTATGGAACCTCCTCTCATGACTTCATCGTTACTCTGTGGATAGCCCCAGGACCAGGTGTCAACTTATTTCAGAACTGAACTCCAGGCCAGGTGTGGTGGCTCACACCTATAGTCCCGGCATTTTGGGAGGCCTAGGTGGGTGGATTGCTTGAGCCCAGGAGTTTGAGGCCAGAGTGGGCAACATGGTGAAACCCTGACTC